ATCCCCAGCTGGGCAATTCTGGGAGTTGAAGTCCACACCTCTTAAAATTCCCAACGTTGAGTAACACTGAAAGAAGACGGATGGACTCCAACTCCCAGAATCCCCCAGCCAGCATGCTTTCAGTTTGATTGAATCCAACTCCCAGAATCCCCCTGCCGGGATGCTTTTAGCTGTGTGGAATTCTGGGCGTTGAAGTCCACACCTCTTAAAGGGGGCCAAGCCTAAGAAAGACCGACCCAGGTCTTGCCAAAGGAGCCTGGCCATTCTAGAACAATGGGTGAGAATCCAGCTGTTTCCACCATTCCGATACGGGGGAATTGTCACCCGCTGTGCCTCGAAGGCGGGAGGGCTGAACCCCCAGATCACCCTTCCCGGGCCAGAGGGGGGGTGGGGGTGGGGGTGGTCGATGAAGTGGCCCGACCCGCCATTACCTTCCCACCAACCTTGCAAGATAGTACCCTCTGAGATACGAGCGGTCTGTGAAGGCTCCATGATTCTTGCAAATCTGAAAATCCATCTTCCTACTCACCCGCCTCGCCTTTACAGGCTAAGAAACTAGGGAGGGTCCCTACTCATCCCTTTGCCTTCTGGGGGCTCAGCTGCCTCTTATCTGACTGTGGCGCTTCCTCTAAAGGTCCTTCCCATAGTGCCATCCCAGGAGCAGAATTTGGGCAAGTCTCAAAGCTTCCCTATCTCTCATCCCCCCCCCCGCCTTAAACTAGGGAGGGTCTCTCTCTCTTTCTCTCTCTGTCTCTCTCTCTCTGTCTCTCTCTCGATTTCCACACACCCCTTTTCGTTCCGAGGGCTCAGCCGCCTCTTATCACTTCCGTCCGTCTCCCCCAGACGCCGCTCCATCGCCCCCCGCCTGCGTACCTGGTGTCCTTGGTCGCCACAAAAACGACGGGATTGGGGGCGTCGGCCGGGTTCAGCTTCTGACGTTTCAGGGCAGGCTGACTGCTTGACCTCATGCCGGACGTTAGGGGCCGCCCATTGGCCGAGAAGGGGAGCCCGCCCCCTGCCACCTGCGCCCGGTCGCACACAGAGCTATCAGCGAGAGGAACACCCCCCCCAACACAAAGCAGTGTCTACCTCTTGCTTGCGCCCCCGCCCACCTAGCCTCCCCGCCCCCTCCCCCCCTTCAGACCCGCCTCCTCCTGAGTTGCCAGACAAAGGGGGGTTGATGGGATGGTGGCGGGTTTCGAAGGACTGAAGAACCAGCGGTTCTCTGGCCTCAAAAGTGCTCAGAGAGTTTAACAACCGGATCGCTTGAACCGGTGTGAACCGGCTGAATCCCACCACTAGGATGGGAGCAGCCAAGATTTGGGCTGAATAGAATACAGGGTGGCTGTATTTTAAAATGGACGAAAGTGGATGATTCCCACTTTCTGTCGAGATGGAATGAGCAATTACGGGAAGGAGGAAAACCCGCCTAGGTGGACTTCCCGAACTGCAGCCAAAGGACGTGGAGGGTTGTTACCGCGGGCCACTTCTCCGCTTCCTGGCTTTCCAAAACTCGGGATTGGTTTTCCCCTCATTAAATAAAAGCCCCACCCCCTCTCTCCACTCCTCCCAGACAAACTCCCCCGCCCCCCCGTGCAGGCATGTCGGCTCGCAGCTCAGCGACTCACGTTCTCGAAAGTCCGCTTGCCCACGATGCCAGCCAAACCTCGGTTCTGGGTCAGCTGATTCCTGTTGATGGGCGTCTTGGTGCCCCGAGGAGTTCGGGGTTTCAGGGGTGCCTGAGCGGCTGAGAAAAAGACAAAGGAGGATGCTGAAGGTGCCTTCCTATCTTCTCTCTTTCCTTTCCTTCCTTCCTTTTTTCTATCTCTCGCACTCTTTCTTGCTTTTTGTTCCTTCCTTCCTTTCCTCCCTTTTCTTCCCTCCTCCCATCCATCCATCCATTCTTCTCCCTCCTTTCCCACTATACTTGGCCCCTTCTCCTCTTTCCCTGACCTCCTTCCTTCCTTCCATTTTCTTTCTCTTGTGCACTTTTTTGCTCTTTCTTTCTTGTCTTTTTGTTCCTTCCTTGTTTCCTCCATCTTTCTCCCTCCCTCCTTCCCATCCATCTTCCTTCTTTCTGATTGTACCTGGTCCCTTCTCCTCCCTCTTTTCCTTCCTTCCTTCCTTCCTTCCTTCCTTCCTTCCTTCCTTCCTTCCTTCCTCTTTCTTTCTTTCTTTCTTTCTTTCTTTCTTTCTTTCTTTCTTTCT